AGTTGAATTGATTGTGTTTTATTTTTTGTTTTTAAGCTCGGTAACCGTTAAATCGGGCTGAGATTTTGACAGAAACTTCTAGACATATTATTCTTCATTCTGAACGATTGGATTAAAGATTGGTGGTGTGGAAGCTGACCGTTTTGACAGAAAACGCCCACCTCGTTCACTGTTAGATCGGGTTGAAATTTTGACAACGGCTTCTAGACACGTAACTTTTCATTCTGAACGGTTGGATTAAAGATTAGTGGTGTGGAAACTGACCGTTTTGACAAAAAACGAGGCTGTTAGTATTGGGAGTTTTTTCTCAAATACTTCTTATTTAATATTGTTGTATTCCAATAATAAGTTGTTTTTAATAATATGTATGTTATAGGCCGTACTTGAATATAAGAAAGAACAGTTATGAACCTATTATTTGCTCATAGTAAAAGTTTTTAAATGGACTACAATCCTGTGATTTTTCTCGCATGGAGTTTTTCACGTGAAAATCTTGGTGTTGATTTGTGTAATTGTTACTTTATATTTATTAATTATTTGATCATAATTTTGATTGCACAAAAAGAAAAGAAAATTAAAACTTGTGAATTGATCCAAATAAATTGGTGTTGAGTTATTTGTTATTATTTTTTCTAACAAAAATATCCTTAAATAAATCTAAAATTTAAAACTTGTGAATTGATCCAAATAGATTGGTGTTGAGTTATTTGTTACTATTTTTCCTAACAAAAATATCCTTAAATAAATCTAAAAACCAAATATCACACCAAACTTAAAAAACTGTATGGTATCAATCTATTTTTTCTATTATAATTAATTAATAAAATTACATCTCTTCTCTCCAAGACAAATCAATTTATATCAAAAAATAATTTTTTTTATGGCCTGAAAAATCTTTAGCTAAAATCTTTCTCTTCCATCTTCGTTTTTATTAATTTTCTCTTCCCATCAACATCTCAGAAATAAAACAAAATAATTATGAATTTGAAGGTAAAATTGTAAATATCTAAAATTATACAAAAAAAATTAAAAAAATTAGAGGATCATTTATAATTTTATGTGACTTTAACATGTATTTGCATTGCAATAGCACTTCGAGTGCATCTGTGTGTTCTCAGTGGCCAGAGCAGTAAAATCTTTTATTTTTTTTCTTTTTTTAATTTAATTTTAATAAGCCGGAGATGTGAAGAGGTTTATATGACACGTGTCAGCACTTTCTCTTTATTTTTAGCACGGGAGTATAGAAGAAACCAGAAGAGAAGAAAAATTAAAGTTCGTTCCGCATTCAACGTAGACAAAACCGAGAAAAAAAGCGCAAGCGCGGAAACCCTAATTCTTTAAAAGCCAAAACCCCTCCGCTTCACTCCTTTTGCTTCTTCTCTAAAATTTATCAGCAGCCGGCTCGGTTCCCTTCCCCCTCTTTTCTAGCTCCAATACAAATAAACAATCCTCATTCAAATCAAGAAGAGGATGCCGCTGAAGCAGCTATTCGATGATGCCAACGACGACGACGACGTATCGAAGATTGAAATTGACAAGGAGTTCGCTAAAAGATACGAACACAACAAGAAACGGGAAGCTCTCCAGAGATACGAACAGCTGCAAAAGGAAGGACTGGTTGATGAATCCGAATCAGGGTCAGAGTCATCGTCATCGGATGAGACAGACATTAAGAAGACTGATATCAAGTTTTTTGATAATTTACTCAAGGTAAAAAATCGTGATCCTTCTCTATATAGTAACGCCAAACTCTTTGAATCTGATAGTAGTGATACAGAAGAGGAAGATATTAAGGTTGGTAATGAAAAACATACGAAAAAGAAACCTATGTATTTGAAGGATGTGATGGCGAGGCATTTGATTGAGAAAGGGCCTGAGCTTGATGATGAGGAAGGGTCGTCAATTAAGACTAAGAGGGCTGATAAGAGTTATAACGACGAACAAGAGGAGTTAAGGAAGGCCTTTTTGGATGCGGTGGAGGATGAGGAAGAGGATGGAGAGCAGGAGTTTTTGAAGTTGAAAGAGAGGAAGAATGAGGAGGTGAGTGGGGATGGGAATGCTGCTGATGCTGATGGTGTGGAGTTTGAGAAGAAGCTGGGTGATTATTTTGGTGGGGAAGGGGAGTTGGATGAGGGAAGCATGTTTTTGAGGGATTTTTTTAAGAATAAGATGTGGCTTGGTAAGGATGAAAGGGATGATGTTGGGGAAGATGAGGTGGATGAGTTGTTGAGAGATGAGGAGGAGGTTGAGAGGCAAGAGAAGTACGAGGAGAGCTATAATTTTAGGTATGAGGAGAGTGTGGGGGATAGAGTGTTGGGTCATTCGAGGAAAGTGGAGGGGTCGGTGAGGAAGAAGGATAATTCGAGGAAAGAGCAGAGGAAGAACAAGGAGGAGAGGATGAAGATTGCGGAAATGGAGAGGAAAGAGGAGTTGAAGCATTTGAAGAATTTGAAGAAGAAGGAGATGAAGGAGAAGATGAAGAAAGTCATGGAGGTTGCAGGGTTTAAGGATGATAATGAGTTTCCGTTAGATTTGGAGGACGAATTTGATCCTGATGAGTATGATAAGATGATGAAGAAGGCTTTCGATGTGCAGTATTATGAAGAAGAGGATGTGGAGCCGGGGTTCGGGAGTGATGATGATAATGATGAGATGGAGAAGCCAGATTTTGATAAGGAGGATGAGTTGCTTGGACTCCCTAAAAATTGGGATGTGATTGACTCTAGTGATGGGTTTTTAGCTGCAAGGGAAAGGAGTTTGAAACTGAAGCAGCAGAAAGGGAATGACTGCTATGAGAAAGAAGAAGGAAGTGGAGAAGAACGGAGTGAGGAAAGTAAGCGGAAGAGGAAGCGAAAAATGTCACTTGTGCAGAAAGTTAAAGAGGAAATGATGGAAGAATACTACAAGTTGGACTATGAGGGTACTATTGGAGATTTAAAGACAAGGTTTAAGTATGCTAAAGTGGATCCTAACAAGTTTGGGTTGAAGACGGAAGAGATATTAGAGATGGATGACAAGGAGTTGAATCAATATGTTTCTATTAAAAAACTGGCACCCTATATGGATAAGGAATGGAAGGTGCCTAGTACTAAGAAACATCAGCAAAAGATGATGATAAGGGAGCGTTTGCAGGAGAAATTTAACAAGAACAAGACCAAACATAAGAAAGATAAGGCTTCTTCAGTTCTGGGCTCCAAACAAGATGGGACAGAAAAGCTGGACGAATCAAATGTGGATACTGGCAACTTATCCAGGAAAGCCAAAAGAAGACGCCGTCAGGCAGAACTCAAGTTATCACGCCCTCGGCTCATTGCCTATGGGAAGGTCCAATCTTAAGCAGCATTTCAGCTATTTCCGATATCATTTCTTTTATTTATTCATTTTGATGTGTACTCCTGATTGATGTGCCTTTTTTACTTGCAAGGATGAACTCGCTCTAGAACCAAAAGTAACGTGGTTGAGAATCTGTTGGCAAAATTCTTTCCCTTGATAATTTTGTATCTTTTGGCCTAATTTACACGGCAGATACTGTGTGTTTACATTGCAGATCACAATTGATTTCATTGTCATGAAACCTGCAAACAGGAACATGACTTGATTTGGAATTTTGGATAACAAAATTATATATCAATTTATCAACAGCAGTTTTTGTTTTTTTTTTTTTTGGACGTAGCACTTGTGACTGTAGTACCCTGCGACCTTTTATTATCTTGGTTAAAAAAAGATCTCCCAAGAAATAAAAACTTCTCTCGACAGCCCATGTTCTGGTACACAAAGTCACAAACTGAAGGCACGCGGGCCTGTGTTTCGGCTGTGTCTGATGACCCTCAGGTAATTTCTCTCTTTTGCTTCCTATTGAAGGCACTATTTCCTTTTAAATTGCAAAATTATCTTTGCTCACAGGAGACGAAGATATTTCAGACATAAAAATTGCATCCCTGTCTTCTTGACTTGTGTACCCTTCCATGCATTTTATTACTTTGCTTAAAAGGTCTCTGAAGAAATAAAAACTCTCTTGAGAACAGAAGCCAATAAGCTTTTCTTTTTTTAAGGAGCTCATTTTCGGTGCACAAAACATTCTGGCTTGTGTTTATTTGATCTGATACAACTTGTTGGTAATCTCCTTCCCCTTTCCTTTCAATTTGATGTCATCTTCTCGGTTGATAATTTAAAGTCATTTGTACGCAGAAGAAAGATACTCAAAGTAATAGGATGAACAAGTTCATACGAACCTTAATGATGCGTTGATGATTGATAAAATAGAAGGCCTTGCATTGAGTTCATGCTCAACAGTAGTGATTATTCAAGCTCTAGAACTTTAGTAATTCGAAAGCTTTTTGGCTCACTGCACTGGACTTAATTGAACAAAAAAACTGAATTTGAATCTGGCACTATCAGAAACATTGGTGACTAGGATGCTGCAATTAGTGATTCAACCTGAGCTCTTTCCCTGCCCGCCCAAGCAAACTCTAACTGAAAAGGGCCTTAGGGGAAGATCGCAGGCCAGTGAAATAATAAAGGCACCGGCCGAAAGAGAAATTGAAAATTGAAAACCTTTATTTTGTAGACAAATTGCTCGAATTAACGAAGCAGGGGAATTAACGTTTAAAAACCAGAAAGAGAAATCAAGAACAGTCAGCTTTTAATCATACATTTTGGTATATAATTGCGTAACTTTGTGTTCCATTTCCCCCATCCCCATCCTCAAACAGAGTTGATAAGAGGCGAAGGCCTATGATCTACCAGATCAGAGATTTCCATTTCATTTGAGACGGCGCAGGGTGCATGCTGGGAACACTCCTCGTTCCTAATTGAAATTATTTATATATTTTTTTTGGAGGAAAATGTGTGTGTTGCACATTAAGCATGTATTATGCAATGGAAAGTATTGAATCTGCAGTTTAACATGTTGTTTTGTGAGCCATTAAAAAGATAGTTGTCTTCCAACCATCAATGCAAGCGATCAATTCTCGGTTCTGAGATTGCCAGCGGCCAGGAGATCATTAAGAACTGGTTTTATACCATGGTCTGATCTGTACGTTGATGTTAAGATTAACCATAAAATCATAACAAGTTAATAAATCTTAGCTGGTAGGAGAGACATATTTTGCTACATTTTTATTAAAAAAAAAAAGATATTAGCTTCAGCCATTTATTTCTCTCTTAACGTATAATTAATTGAACCCTAGGAAGGGAAGCCTAGTAATGGCCATCCCTAGGAACTCCTCCTCTAGGACTCTTCCATCCCTGAAGTATCCTGGGATGCTAAGCCTTTTCGCCTGTATGAACACAAAAAAATAAATCATATAATTCACTGTTTTAAGATATGTTATTAGGAAGATGTTCAAATAATCTGTTTCCAGTATTCTTTTATCTACTTGCAAGAATTTCACTATTCTCAAGAACAAAGAAAGAGAGCGGATACTACCTACGAGTCATACGAGGCACGGTGGTCTTTGGCAGATCCCTTGATCCCATTGCAGAGACCAGGAGGAGCATGACAATCAAGAAAACATTCCAAGAACACACAAATTTCTTAGAAGCCATTTTTCTTGTAATAAAAAGCACGTTTGTTAAGAACATACGTATATATGATAAGCAAACATGGACTCCTTGATCACGTATCTTTATAAAGGAAAATTGTTTCAGATGGAAAAACTGAGAACGAAGACGATTTCAAAGTCGAAGCCGTTGCCATTCAATTAGAAGGCCGCTTCGTGCCTAGACTTTTCGGCCATGATGACTTTAAA